GGTCGGTAAGTTGGTCGTCAAAAACTAAAGCAATAAGCTTTTTATGCTATAGGTTCTCCAATTTATCCGTAATGGAAGGCGTACAAGCATGCCAGACAACAAGTACCAATTGCAACAATTACTTGTGAGTCCGACAATTTCATTATGATAAAACCAAATTGATAGTGATTCTATGTCTCTCACTGGGAAAGTGAAAAGTGACAAGAACAATGTACGCATGATATTTGATTTTGCCTCCTTCAGTGTGAGGCCCAGTTCTTTGGTTTGGACGTTTATCAAAGGATGCTTCGACGCCGTTTATGGAAACTAACTGGAAAAGCTACGTACTACGCCTGTTATTCGGATTCCGAATAATACCATTATAAACTACTTTCATTGTCTAATAAATTTTTAAATGAATGGAACTTATGTGTGCAATGAGAGTTAAGCTTATAACGTTCAATAGACGTTTGTTATACATAAACAATATATTATAACTTTCGTTTCGAGTGCTTTATTAAGACCAAGCTCAATTTCAACATATGTCGTAGTTATTATTTGAGCCAACATTTCATGTGGTTTGTTGAATGGGCTGACTTTTGGAGCCCGATACACGTGTCTCCACCTTGACGGTCTCGTCAGTCGGGCAGTTAACCTTCGTCTTTATCCGATCCTCTCGGGGCGCTCAGTGCCCTATAATAAGAATAGGCGACAACGAACGTTTTACGCTGTATGTCCGGTTGGTGTCGGGTTGGCTCAAATAGCAATTACGAGATATGTTGAGATTTGAGTGTGGTCTTAAGGAAACACTCGATGAGAAAGGTATGATATACCAATGATACCAGCCAAGAGCAATCGAGTATACAACACTGTGTGTTCGGTGATAATTTCACCGAACATGCAATGTAAAATGTTCGTCGTCGTTTACTCTTTGTATAGGGGACTGAGCGCTCCCAGAAAATTGGCTAAAGACGAAGTGTAAGTGCCCGATTGATGAGACCGTCAAGGTTGAAACAGGCGTATCGTGCTCTATAAGTCAGCCCATTTAACGGACCACATGATATGTTGGCTCAAATAATAATTACAAAAAACCATATTTTTACTTTCCAACTTATGTGTGACTGTTTTCATTTGGAAACGATGTTTGCATTAGACTATTTGCTAGGAAGAATTATTGTTGCATACCGCATCGGTTTATACCAGTCTGTTAAAATGAGGCCTACATAATGAGACATGTACTTCTAACTGTTAACACATTACGGATGGTGCGCATTCTATACAGTGACATGTGACCATCGAGTAGCCGGCATGATTTCCAGGCTAGTCATTTTCCTTTTAGTTGCTCATCTTTTATCGCAGAGCCCTTTTTCTTAGTTTCTTCTGAATAATCGATGATTTACCAAACACAGATGCTGCCAGAAGCACTAACTGGAATAAAAACTGTACTCTGCGCTCTATAAAATACAAAAACTATTTCTCGAGGACTCATTAAGTAGTAATTTGATTATAATCAAATGTTGCTTCACTTCTAGTCGCTGTGTTGAATCATGGATTATGTAACAGGATGTTCGGGCACGAAAGTATCGAATTAGACACAGCATAGGCTGTAAAACACATCCAGACACCGACAAAGGGCTATGTGTGCTAGATCGTAATCACCTGTATCACCTGTATCACCTGTCGTCCCGTTGATCGTCGAGTGACTCGAGCGGGTACCAGCAACTCTTCCATTTTTCCCTATCGCGTGCAAGAGTAGCCCAGTGGGTCCTCCTTGCTCTAGGAATTCGCTGAGCATCATATCTTTCTTCCATCGCTTTCGTGAAGAAATCGGACCAACGGGTCAGTGGTCTTCCTTTAGAGCGCTTGACGTCCCGAGGAATCCAGTCGGTAACGGCTCTCGTCCATCGGTTGTCGTTGAAGCGCATCACGTGTCCGGCCCACCTTATTTTCGATATCCTGGCGTGTAGAACGGCGTCTCTGATTTTCGATCGTTGACGTAGGTCGGAAGTTCGGATCCTTTGTCTCATTTGCGAGAATACGAGATACTCCTAGCATCGACCTTTCGACTGCGCGTTCGATAACGGCAAGTGATCTTTCATCCTGCTTACGTAGCGACCAGGTTTCTGCTGCATACGTTAGGGCAGGGATAATTGTCGAGTCGAAAAGGTGGGCACGGAGTCGGATGTTCTTTGTCCTCTTCACTACATCTTCGATGCTCTTAAACGTTCCCCAAGCCGCTCGTTTCCTCCTGCTCAACTCTGGGCTAGGTCGTTCATCATGTTGATTTCACGACCTAGATAGATGTAACTGGAGCATTCGGAAATTGTCGTTCCGTTGAGCGTGAATGGGGCATTAGAAACCCATCCGTTCCTCATGAACATTGTTTTCGTTAGATTCAGTTGAAGACCGATCTTTCCACAGGCGTTGTCGAAATCAGTCAACATTCGTTCCGCTTGGCTGATGTTTGGTGTTATGAGAACGATATCGTCAGCAAAGCGAAGATGGTTTAATTGTCGACCGTCAATTTTCACTCCCATTTCGTCCCATTCTAATGTTCGCATGACGTTTTGTAGGGTGGCAGTGAATAGTTTTGGCGATATTGTATCGCCTTGTCGAACCCCTCTTCTTACGTCAATGGTGATATTGTTGTAGAATGGAGATATTCTGGTCGTGAAATCTTTATAAAGCTCACGAAGGATCATTATGTACCGAGTAGGGACGCCCTGGTTATCCAGAGCCTCTATAACCGCTTCTGTTTCCACTGAATCAAAGGCTTTTTTCAGATCGATAAAAGTGAGACAGAGTGGTTGTTTGTACTCTCGCGAAACTTCAATGAGTCTTGTGATCGTGTGGATGTGGTCCATGGTACTAAATCCTTTTCTGAACCCTGCTTGTTCGCATGGCTGTCCTTCGTCCAGTGTTCTGTCGATCCTGTTCAGGATGACTCGAGTAAAGAGTTTATAGACAACGGACAGCAAGCAGATTGGGCGATAATTGCCTATGTCGTGAAGGTCTCCCTTTTTGAACAACAATACGGTCTTGCTGGTTTTCCATTGAATAGGGACCTTGCATTCTGACAGGTAGCGAGTGAAGAGCCGAGCCAGGGTGTTGATGAGAACTGGCGGCAGATTCTTCAGATGTTCTGGTCTAATCCTGTCTGGACCGGGTGTTGTTCTGTTTTTCACCGACGATATAGCATGTCGGATTTCGGAAGGGAAGGACCGGTGGAACGACATATTCGTCCTCTTTCAATTTATATGACGGTAAGAGAGACATGGCTAGCGAAGAGATCCGAGTAGTATTGGTGGATGATTTTCTCCATAGCCCTTCTGAAAGCTGTAAGTGTCCCGTCAGGGTATCGGAGTGCAATCATCTTGGTCTTATAGTTGGCGAAGCCTCGCTGGGCTTTGCGAATGCTCTTCCCAGCTTCTGCAGCTTCTGCCATAACTGCTGCTCTTCTCTCTTTAAGGTCTTCTTTTATCGCTTCTCTGCATCGTTTCGCAAGTTCGGACGTAAGGTTTCGGTTGCCTGCGGCTCGTGCGATTCCACGTTGACGTATCAGCTCGAGTGTCTGCGGAGACAAGCGTCTCTTCGTGACCTTAGGACTCTCGGCTTTTTTAGCGCCAACGTGAAGATATTCAACGAGTCGATCGTATTCTTCGTCGATGTTGTCGACAACGGTATCTTCCCAAGAGCCGACTAATGATTTGAATACATCCCAGTTTACGGTAGTTCTGGGACTTCGTTGTTTGAATTTAGCGGCTTTCTCTCCTCTCCTCGAAAATCGGAACGTTGCGCGAAGGAGACGATGGTCTGATCCCGTGTAGAACTTGGGAACAACAGCGACGTCGGTCAGGCAAAACCTTCGATTTACTATGATGTGATCTATTTCGTTATGGTACTCTCCATTGGGAGACTCCCACGTCCATCGCTGAGAGAGAGGCTTTTGGAATTGCGAGTTACCATGGATGGTTTGGGTCGTCATGATAAACTCGGATAGCCTCTCACCCTGTTCATTCCATTCTAGTCCGTGGGTCCCTATGTGACGTTCTTCAGACGTTCTTCTAGGTCCAATTTTTGCGTTAAAATCTCCGACAATGACCTTGATGATCGTAATAACATATAGTAAATAGAAGCGTGCATACTAACCGTACCATAGCTAAAGAGCAAAGTCTTCCATAATCCTGCCTTGTTCGCGCCCTATCAGGTCGCCATATAACTCATTCGACATATTGCCACATCCTTAGCTGAGATTTTTACACTGAAAAGAAGATCCGAATCATGAGTTTCGCTCATCAGCCTATAGAGTTGATTACACTCTCTTGCGAAAGAAAGAAAGTAAAGTGTAACTCTCCATTGATACTCGAGATTTCTAGGATTTTGCTGCCTTTTTCGCAGTGTCACGATGTCGCCACCGAGGTACATTCGCTCCCTTACTCATTCTTCAATATCTCTAATGGCTTCCAGCCACCAATCCTTAACAAATTTGGTAGGGTATGCGATTTCGCTTTGTAAACCAGTTGAGCTGGCATCCATTGTGATAAGTAAAACTCAAGATTTCCAGAATTTTTACTGCATTTTTCGCAGTGCTATGATGTTCCATACACACCTAAGAGAACTGAGTGGTGAGCAAAAAATACGACCTCATGCGGGAGTCGAACCCACGTTTCATTCATACCGGGGACACTTATAAAGCGAAATCGCATACCTTACTAAATCTGTTAAAGGTTGGTGGCTGACAGCTATCATAGAGATATTGAAGAATGAGTGGTTGACGCCAACGTACCTTGGTGGTGTATGGTAGCACGCGTCTCCAAATTGGATTATACGCGGGTTCGACTCCAGCCTGAGGTCGTGTTTTTGCTCATCACTCAAATCTCTTAGGTATACATGAAACTCTTTATTAATGAAATCTTTATTGAGTTAATCACTGGGATTCACACCAGATTGACAGAGGCAAGTGAAAGTGATCACAGACTAACTCTTCTATAACTAAGAGAATTGAGTGGTGAGCAAAAACACGGCCTGAGCCGGAAATCGAACCCGCGTTTCATCCTATCCGGGGACGCGTGCTCTACCACTACACCACCGAAGCACATTTGCCCGACCACTCATTTTTCAACATATCTATGTTAGCTATCAACCACCAACCTTTAACAGGTTTGGTCGTATATGCGATTTTGCTTCATAAATACCGTTAAGCTGACAGCCACTGTTATATATAATACTTCGACATTATAGTATTTCTACTGCTTTTTTCGCAGTTTTATGATGTTATTCATAAATGAATGAGTGGTCGGGCAAATGTGCCTCGGTGGTGTAGTGGTAGCACGCGTCTCCAGTTTGGATTATACGCGGGTTCGATTCCCTCCTGAGGCCGTGTTTTTGCTAACCACTCAATTCTCTTAGTTATATAAAATAACATCATAACACTGCGAAAAAGCAGTACAAAACCCTATAATTTCGATGTCTTATATATAGCTAACTCTCTCGTTATTCTCTATGAGCTCGCGATTAGTCCCTGTGTTGAGCATCATTTCCACGAAATCTTCTACAAGAAGGAAGAAGACAAAGTCAGTACTCAGATAGTTAGAGAGAATGAGCAGCGACAGAACATGAGATGTAAGTCAATTATTGAAAAATCTGGTGAAGAGATCTCGCATCGATGGACAACGCATTCAAAAAAAAAAAGTATTTTTAATTGATTAGACGTGAACATTCTGAATAGTCCCGCCAATGTTGCAAAATCGTATATCTGATTACAATTGGTATAAATGTATTCGAAAAAATAAAAAATCATAAAATCATTTAATCTCATTTGCTTGCCTGCTCGACAGCTCATTCGTTCTTCACGTGGTCAGTCCGTATAAAAGACGACGAACGCAGTTGTTATCACTCATCTGATAAGTTGATGATATCGATCTAAACAGAGTTTGCGACCTTCATGTTTTCGGAAATTATCTACGCTTCTCTCACATTGTACATGTTTTCCGAGCCACTCAAATGCTACGTAGGTGAGTTAAAATTTTCTTACCAATTTTTCTTTCGTAATCAAAAAAAAAAACTGATTTCGTAACTGTATGCTAAATTTTTTACCTGAGGCAAATGCCGACAAGAGGCGAACGATGCGCTCATGAAGTGAAGAAAATAACAAATTTCGGAGCTTTACCACTTTTTCCTTTACCACTTTGTCTGCTACAAAATCGCATTTCACATTCGTTTTCTTACTTCTTATGGGTATAACTGAGATTATTCCTTGCAAATAAAAGAGAACTATTTGTTTTTCGCCAAAAACTTTAGTTTGCACATAAGAATGGCTCATGAGTTTTCTTGGTAATGACCCCAATACTTCGATCGTTTTATAAGTTTTGGCACTACAATAATAAATACCGAATTTACCAACCAAAACTGCATGATCTCAGCAGCTTCAAGATGAAGCTGTCGCGGGAACAAATTAGCTTACTACTCATACACGAATGGCGCTTACGAGAAAATACTAGTAAAGCGGCGCGAAAGATTAATGGAGGTTTTAGTGAACGACCCGAGCACGACTAATCCTTCAGACTGCTCATTCTGGCTATGAATTTCACTAACTACTTTCTAGGTCCTTTCTGCAACTATGTCAGTGCCTCAAGTTCCATTAATCTTGCGCGCCGCTTCACTAGTTTTTTTCCTCTACACGCCGTTTGTGCATGAGTAGTGAGCTAATTTGTTTTCAAGACAGCTTCACTCTAAAGCAAGTATCGGCAAGTTTATGATCGCAACAAAACGAGAAACTGAACGATACCAAAATCATGCAATTTTGATTACTTCTAGATTGTTGCTCTGGTGCCAGAACTTATGAGAAGACGTCATAGTTGACGCCAAATTTTGCTACACATTAGCTATGACTGGGCCCCCACTCACGTCGGGCATAACATTGAATGTGAGTGGAAACCCACTGATGCCCTCAAAACACCATCATAGACATGCTCACTGTTGATTGATCGGAACGATTTTACTGCGATTCCAAGAGCGGATTGGTACGCTTCATCATGCACTGCACGTCTTGCGAAAGTCTTTCCACATGATCTTACTGATTTATTCATTTGCTTTTTTATTTACTATGTATTTGCTTACATTTATCAAAATTTTTTACATGAAAATACGTTACAATAAGGTTGTCTCTTTAACTGATAAATTTAAATAAATAAATGGGGTCTCAGTAATACTTAAGACGGGTATCAACTGCAAAACACATATCGATATAAGCTGAAATTCAATGATTGTCGCAAATCCCAAGGGCTCTAAAATTCAATAAACTATTCATCTTCACTTTTGTGATAGGCAGATTGTTGGGAGCAGTTCTTCTCAACTATAGCAAAGATAGCGTTCTGGTTTCTGATAAGTGTTATCGTGTTGTAATAGCTCAAAAGTCCGACTATATCTGAACCTCAGTATGACTAAAGAAATGTAAAAATTTTTACGAACTGTCTTTTTCTTTATCTAAAACTTGCACGAGGTTGGTACTTCTTTTTCCTCAAAATTCGATGGCTAACATTTCGCTGGCAATGCATACGTCAGAGCGTTCATGGTATAATATGTACGTCTTTTACTTACAATAAGTCTTTCTCTACTTATAAGCCTTGAAGGTGACTCTGCAATCGAATGATTACACTTCAATTAGTGGATATTCCGATATTTAGACTTCCTTGTTCTAATTAACTTACTTTTTCCTCCTTTTCACTATCAATATTCATCCCAGTTTATAATAAAACTGCCCATTTTCGCAGGATAAAGGTCAGAAGTATCGATATGTTTGTGAATGTTTAATTTTTTCACAGTGCTCTGGCAGGAGAATAATCATTGAATGTGTGAAAATACTGTTAAAGTGTTTAGCTGTTCTCACTAATCCTTTACCGTCAAATGCCCAAGCATACTAGGGATTAAGCTGCCTCAATGATTCTAACTCTTACCAAATGCTCAACTAAAAGCAAAATCATAGGGTAGCAAGCTTTTGACGCTGATCTCTTCCTGGAGGATTCGGCGTGTGGTAGATTGCGTTGTTGAATCGTCAAAGCGAATGAGGACCTCAAATATCTGCTGTATTGGGTCACTGTCTGGATCCTCTCGGACAAGCCTGATACCATCTTGCCGACCCCATAGGGAATGAGTGATTGGGCAGCAGGAGGCGAAGAGTCAAACCACTGATCACCTGTGCATTGCAGAGCATCCATAACTACTGCGCTTAACGCACCCCGAATAATTAATGTAGTTTGTTAATTTCAACCATTAGCAAATGTATTCGGTCAAATTTTTCGGTATCTATCATTTCGCAAAATGCTTATGTATTGATGAAAGATGAGAGACTAATCACTTCCGTAGTTACCTCTTTAGGTGAAGTCTTTAACTCCACGAAGGTGACTTTCAAATTCTCCCATGTAAAAAAGATGGAAGTAAAGATATGCGATGTTGCCCAGCCGCATGGTGACGTGCAATGCATCCAACTTCATCCGTACATTGTATAAAGTTTGAATGCATATTTAACCTGTGTTTTCGGAGACACACCGATGTGATCAAGTCAGGGCTTTTTCTAGATAAATCTGAAATTAATCTGCTGACATCTTAAATGGAGGCTTACGACTGTTAGATAAACGTCATTTATGGACAAGAAATGCTCAGATTTCCTCACATCGCAACATTTAAAAAATCAGAACTCAAACTTTTGAAAAGTCGTAGGGGAGCTCGACTCAGAGTTAAGTGGAGTTCCATCTAGAAAGCTAACATGTGACGTAGTCTCCATACATACCATAGGAGTGTATTAAGGTCGTATGATAAGAAGTTAACGTGACATTTTGTTGGTCCTTGTTTTTACAGAAAGGAAAAATATAAGATAAGAAAAGATTATAACCACAAAGCCATAGATCTGGGGAAGGAGGGGGGGGGGGGCACAAAGTGATAATACTTGAATGGTAATATCATCAACTCAATGAGTTATTGGGTGCACCTAAGACGGCGATAAAGATGCCGATCAACTTCACACACATACAATTCCCATATTTGGACCCCACAAAGGGGCAGCTATTAGGGAGCCTTTCACCAATCCATAGTGGTCGGCTAAAAGTACTCTATAATATACATGACTATACATGAATAGGAGTTATAGTACAGCTATGAGAACTGTTATAGCACTTGCTTGCAAGCAGCTTGCTTTAACCTAGACGTTGGCTTTTACTTTTACTGCCATCTATTTCTTTAGTTTATTTCTGTTCCTCATAAGCGATTTACTATATGGAAGTCAGTGTGGGCGTAAACTCAAAGATATTTGTTTCTTTAGTATGCTAGAGGATTTGTATTACTACATATAAAACAATTTTTCTTGTGAAAAGCTGTAATTTATTCTAATACTGGCTCCCGGGGCTCAGTCTTGCGTGCGCGGAACATGGAAAGACGCCTGTTTTCGTGTCGATTACTAACTTACTGTTTTTAGGAAAGAAAAATAAATCTCCGATAATTAAATGAAGGATTGCGAACGAAGTAGATTGTAGAAACGTTTGTTGTGACTCATCATTTTACACATTGCCGTCAGAAT